GATTGAAAGTAAATAGAGGCAATCGATAGTGATTGAATTATACAAACAAATGCAAATGGCGTCTATTTTATTTTATTCTTATTGATTTAATAATTTGTTTAAAGATATATGATGGAAAAAGATTCTCGTTATCAATGGTTAGAATCTCGTTTAATAGCAACACTTGAACCAAAACGAGATGCTCTTATTCAATTAATTCAAAATGATGATAATCGGTTTGTTTCTTTTTTTGGTTTTTTTTTGTTTTTATTAAAATAAAAATAATTTAATAAATTAGTTTAAGTATTGAACAATTTTTGGAAAATGAAGATATAACACATTTATATGTATTATCTCAATCATCATCATCATCTTATTTATTAGCTCTTAATTCAATTCCAATTGATTTTAATTCATATCAACGAGTTGTTCTTTTTATTAAAACTAATTTAACCAATAAATTAACAAGAGAAAATCTCGGTTTGTCTTTTATTTAAATTAGAAAAATAAAAAGTAAAAAGAAAATTATTGTTTGTTGAAATAGATAAAGATGTATCATTGATTGAATTATATCCTGGTGAAACAGTTCATTATATTGATATAATAAGTCGTGATGTTTATCTTCCATTATTATGTTGTAATATTCTTGTATCTGATGTTGAAAAAGATCGTTATTTGGATTTATTTCATCGTTTACTTAATCAAACAGCAGCAACACATACAATTCAAGCTGAATCAGTTGTACTTCCATTACCAGCATTTAATATTCTTGCTCATATATCACAACAAGAACCTGAAAGACAACAATCAATATTATCTATTCTTGAAAATACTCTTACAAATTGGAGTAAACAAATAAAAGTTTGTTTTTTTGTTTTATAGAAAAAAAATAAAAATAATAAATTGATTTAAAAAAATTTAAGCAATTACTTCAAGAAGAATTAAAACCATCATTTTATGGTCGAGAACAAAATTCAATAAAAGATCAAGTTCAATTATGGACATCAAGAATAAATAAATTAAATAATCTTATTGTACAACTTGATTCACCATTTGTTCAAGATGTTCTTAAAAATTTAGCACGAAATCGTTCACCATATCTTTCTTCTTTTATGGATATTAAACTTGAAATAACTCGAGTATGTTTTATTATTTCATCATTAATATATATATTATTCTATTATAAATGAAAAGGCTGTAACACATGCTGAAAGAAATTTATCATTTGTAAGTACATTATCACCATGGATATTTCAAATAAATAATTCAAATAATCTTAATGAAATTCTTTCATATCTTCCATCATTAATGCATACACTTTTTCTTATATGGCAACATTCACAGTAATAATTTATTATTTAAATAATATTAAATAAACGTTTTTTTTTTTTTTTTCATTCAATATTAGTTATTATCATCAAAAAGATAAATTTTGTCAATTATTAGAAGTTGTTTCTTCCGAAATAGTTCTACGAGCTAAACAAATTATAGCTAATAATATATCATCTAAATCAACTAATGTATGTTTACTTATTTATTTATTTATTTTTGATTTATTTATTTATTGATTAGACATCATCAATGAGTTTAAAAGATGCTCTTTCAATATGTGCCATGTTTCGTGGAACTTATTTAGATTATAAAGAAAAAGCTGATGCACTTAATTCAAAATATATGATCCCAGAAAAAAAGTTATTTTATTTAATGAAAAATAAATTTCTTGAATAAATATATTTGTTTTATTAAATAGAATTGATCCATCTCGAATGCTTATTTGGCATGTTAATCCATATGGAGAAAATGATCCAAATAAAGATATATCATCAACAAATGATCCATATTCGGTTTTAAGAAAATCAAGTCCATGGCCACCAAGAAATTCCAAATGTTTTCAATCATTAAATGCTCTTATTGAAAGGTTTTTGTTTTTTTTTTGTTTCGAAACAATTATTCACATTTTCAATAGTCAGGAAAAACAAACAAATTAGTTTTGTTTTCGAATAACTTTGAAAAACAAATTCTATAGAATTTAATAATAGATTTTAAAAAAAATTTTTCCTTAGAACTATTTAATGAAAATAATATTTATTATTTATTATAAAAGGATAAATTAATATTCGATTAAATTCAAATTAATTTTCATAATTATTTATTAGAATTAAGATTGTTTGTTTTCGATAACAACTATTTTAAATAAAGAAAAATATTCTCGAATTACAATTTAAATCTAATAAATCTTTCTAATAAAATAATATTAATGAAATAATCTTAACAAAAAAAGGTTGAAAATAATATTATTTTATTTAACTATTATAGAAATAATTCTTAAAATAATATTTATTTATCTATCATTGATATTTATATTCAAAATAAATATTATTTTCAATTGAGTTTTATTTAAAAAAAAACAAAATAATGTTCGATATTTAAAGTATTTTATATGATAATTAATATTGTTTAATTAGTATGAAGAAATTTAGAAAAAAACAAAAAAAATTTTGGTTGCTTTTTTTTGTTATTAAAAACGAAAAAAAGAAAAGAAAAGTAATTTAATTATATTTATCTAATAAATAAATGATAAAATGATATATCAGCTTGAGCGCGTAACGCGTAACTTCAAGACCGGAAGTTTGAATTGATCATATAGGAAATTCATTGTCACCACCTTGTAGAGCATGGTCTAATGTCTAAGGAAATATATTTTCTTCCATTAATAACTATGTCAAAGTGTATTTGGTAATTTGTAACAGAGGTATAACTCACAGTTATAGAAAATTCTTCTATTTAGACCGTTAATGAACCTAACCCATATATCGAAACAGTTTGAAATCAACAAAGTTGATTAAGGCTGATAAAGACTATGATAGGAGATGTGTCTTTTGACATAACAAATGATTTTGTATGTGTTATACTTTTTTGTAATGAACTTATCTAAAACTATCCACTTTATAACGTTATCGCGTAACCAAAAATAAGTATTTTTTTTTCATTTGTCGATCTTTATTTTTTTTTTGGCAAAAAATATATATATAAAGCCAGCTTTTTATGAGCTATCTAATACACCTAGTTTTCCCAGAGAAAGATTCCGTTTTATAATAAATCTATGAAAAAAATACTTCTATATAATAGTTTCTTAGGCAAAAACCATTATACACTATATTTAATGTAGTCTGTATTAATTACTAACAGATTGCCATAAGAGTATAACTGATTGATTTAATAAGTTGATTGCGTTCAGTTAGAATGAAATTATCAATATAAATTATCTCTGATTTCTATGATATATGCGTAAGGTGGGGAGCACTCTAAATTTCAGTTAACACTTTTTCTCCATGATTTATATATGATTGAATAGAGCTCAAAAAACTGTGTAAGTAAATGTACTTTTAAAGTAATTTTCCTATTTAATAAGGGTTAAAAACCTTAAAAGACCGAGATGATACTGTGTCACTAGGACCATTTCGTATAAAATGATATTAGTATTTTGAGGTTTTTAATATTTATAAAATAGGATAATGAATTGAAAAATAAATTTTCTTAGATAGTTTTTTGAGCTCTATCGAACGATATATAAATTATGAAGAAAAAGTGTTAATTGAAATTTTGAGTTTATTCCACTATATAAATATATGGAAATCTCTATTAGTCAAACTGATTTATTGTTTTTATGATTTCTTTTTGTACTAGAGGAATCAATAAACACAACGTCTCACATGTGTGCACATTCTAAGTGTAAAATAATAATAGTATCTTGTCTTTACAGAGGTGTACACATTATAAAATGAACCATGAAAAAAAAATGGTTTCAAAAGTCATCATCATCGCGTTACGTTAATCAAACTGATCCCTATTCAAAATAAGAAGACTGTTCGAAGAAGCTTTTGCTCTGTTGGATACTTCCAACTGTTGGCTACAAAATACGCATAGAACGTTTCTTTGAATACAGTATACATTCGTAGAGAAATAAAAAACAACTATGTCACCCTCAACTTTTTGTCCCTTTCTCGTCATCGCGTTACGCCATGTATTTCTCAGGAATTTTGCAGAAGGTCGAGATGCATCTTACAACGAAAGAAGAAATCCTTTGAGCAATCTGAGTGTTGAGAATAGTTAATAAAACTGTGGCCAAAATGTCATCGCGTTACGCTTGCTCAAGCCGATATGTATATCAATATTAAAATAGTTAATTATTATAAATAAATCAATATTTATTTCATGTTAATTTCAAAGTTTTTTTTTCTTAAAATAAAAGAAAAAAAGAAATTTTTATTTAAATGATTTCTATGAATATAAACAACCTGTTTAGATGTAATGATGTTCAAGAATTAACATCAATAATAAGTCAATTTAATGATTTATCTGCAACAGCTCGTGTTGGTGGTACATTAACAAGTACAATGGATGCAATGCTTGCTGATATTCAATTAAAATCATCAAAATCTCTTGAAATATTTCATAATCAATGTCCAAATCTTTCTCATTTAATGGATAATGATCAATTTGATTTGGCTTTTTTTCGTTTAAGAACAGAATTAAAACATTGGGAACATGAATTAGCATGGATATTACGACAATGTTTTTCACGTGCAACAACACTTTCAAGTAAATTAACATTATTAAATGTTTTTAATGGAGCATATCAAAGAGATGTTATTCAACGTGCACTTATTAATGAACAACAATGGATTATTGATAATCTTAAACAAGAATTTCAATTAGTTGCTCAATTAGTTAATTCATCAAATATTAATTATTTACATTTACCACCTTTATCAAGACAATTAATTTATTTATATGGTCTTAAACAAAGAATTGATTTATTT